AACACCGTATTTGTTTGAAATGCCACAAATAGGTCTTAGGTATTTTAAACTAAAATGTTATATTTACTTATTTAGTCCAAAGTTAAAGTAAAAGAACTACTTTTATTTTATGAGGTAGTACTTAAATCATAACTAATGATATCTTTAAAATCAATACGTGACGTGACAGTGGCGGCGTTTGAGTCGGGTCGGCAAGTGTTTATTGTGTTACCGATTACCGATGCCAAAAAGTACTTTGTTTACATCTGCCGATTCAAGACATGCGAGAAAATTATGACAAAAAATTAAGTCTAAAAAAACTGTCATTGACTCGTTGGGCAAGTCACACTAGAGCTGTTAATTCCATAATTAACAACCTCCCCGCTATAATAGAGGTTATGGAAAGCATCTCATCTGGTGAAATTTCAAGTACAAATGCGAGTCAAATGATTGATGCTCGTAGAATTTCAACATATATAAAATCTTTTGAATTTGTATAGGTACCTTCTTTTGGAAACAATCACTTTTAGTTAGGTATTCAAATTTTATCTAGTTATTTACATTGAGAAATGAATCGTTCAACAGATTTGAAGAAAAGGCTAAAGAAAGTATGAAAGTACGAGTTCACAAAAACAAGATCAATAAAGAAGGTGAAACTTTTTCACGATGAAAACATCTTTGGGCACATTGAAAATTGTCCTAAGCAAAATTTTTTTGTACTGGATACATTTATTCAAACACTAACACAGAGATTTGATGACTTTTTGGTGATCGCAAACAAATTTTCATGCTTCGAGGCGGAAAATATAGCTGTTTCTGAAGAGAATAACAAATCTTTGTATGATTTATGTATTTTCTATAAATCCTCTATCCAACCCGAAAATAGTTGATGAATTCAATTCGTTTTGTAGTCTATTAACTGAAACAAATAATAAATATAGGTTAAGAACTGAAGAAATATACCCTTTCTTAATTTCCAAAAAACTAGAATCAGTTTTTCCTAATTCATGCAAAATGTACCAAATTTCTTCAACTAAATTGCTACAAACACAGCAACAGGCGAAATATCTTTTAATAGACTAAGAAATATTAAATATTATAATAGGTAAAATGTATTGTTTGAGGGCAGATTGACAAAAATAGCGTTACTGAGTATTGAAAGGGACTATGCGTCTAATATTGATTTTCATTCTAGACAAATTTAAGACCATGAGCAGTAGAAGATTTATTTTGTAAAAGCATTTATAGATTATAACTAGAGTATTTAGTATTAGGTATATGTATTTTTATTTATGAAAGTGACAGTGTTTTTGTCCGTATTTTTTAAATTTTATAAATTTTATTTAAAAATTTTTGTTTATTATTTAATATTATGATCTGTCTCAACTCGATTATTCTTATTTTTGTTGTTTTTTTTAATACATTTTATAATACAAATACAAAATATTGTCCCCCTCCCCCACCCCTCAAGGCTGGCTACGCCACTGTCACGTGACCAAAAAATCTACTTGCTCTGCTCGAGGATATACATTTCAAACGTAGCAAATATAGGTAGTAGTATAGCATAGTAGTAGTATAGGATATAGTATTTTTACCCATACTATAGCCAATATTTCATTTTAAATTTTATTCACGGAAAAAAATGCGACTAGAAAATTTTACTACAATGTTGTAGTAGTAGACTTGTAGAAAAATACTTAACTTTTTGTAGAAAATTTTACTATAATTTATAGTTAAAAACTATTTATTATTGTAGCAATTGAATTGTCGAATAAAATGCTACAATAGGAAAGAAGACCACAATGTTTAGTATATTTTACTATTGTTTGTAGAAGTAGAAATTTATTACAATTATTGCAATTATTACTATTAAGTTCTGTTAAAATTTGTACAAATAATAATTATCTCTACAAAAAATAGTAATTTTCTCTACAAAAAATAGTAATACTTTACATCCCTTCTTATGATAAAAATTCAATTTTGTTGAAAAATATTCTATAATATTGTAGAAATTTTAAGTCATGTGAATAAAAGAGAATTCTGCTATTGGCCAACATTTTCTGACGTCTTCCATAAATGGTCAGACAGCAGTAGTCGTTCGCCATGTTCACAAAACAAAGCATCGTACATATATAACACATTATTATATTATAAGCAGTGATGGTTCGAGAAAATTTTAATAATAACTTCTATAAGTGGTAATTACATTTATTATTTCTTTTGAATAATTTACCTTTAGATAACTAATTTAAATAACCTTCGTAGATTATTTTAATAAAAATAGTTATGGCCAACGATCGATTGTTGTGCCAAGTTCGATGATGTTTTTTCGATTTAATTGTGATATACCTACTTTCTCATTTTTTTTAGTTCTCCGACGTGGTCATTTAATGTCCCAATCACTATAAAGGTTATAAATATCCCCGTTTTATGGGTATGCAGTTCAATAGGTATTAATTTTTATTTCATATTTTTCAGGTGCAGTAAAACCAACTGAGACTGAGGAAGCTATTATTACTGTTATTTATTACATAATGTAATTAAGACTTTGTATCTATTTAATTAAAACAATAAATTTTAAATATTTTATTGAGGAACATTTTTTTTAGGTTATAATTATAATAATTGTGGAATACTACTACAAATTTTATTAAAAATTACTACAATTTGTTTGAATTTTTTCTATTTATTGTGTAAAATTTTCGTATTAATTTTCATGAAACCAATACATTTTTAATATAAATTCATACAATGAATAGCAAAAATTATAACAATTTGTAGAACAATTCTTGTGATACATATGGATATTTTTACTAAATATTGTAGATAATAACTCTATAATACCTTCTCTACAAATATTTGGATATTTTTACTACAAATTGTCCCTGTCCCTATTTGTACTATTTATTGCAGAGAAAAAATCTATAATTGTAGAAATTTGTTCTACAATTTTTTTTCCGTGTTGATTTCTTGGTCGTCTTCTTCTTTTTATACATCGACAATAAAAAAGTTGTACATTTTTAAAATTTTTCTTTAATAAATTTATTACAGGGTAGGTAAAAACTTACTAATTAACCTACACATTTCTAGTTTATTTTGTTATTAATATATCAAGAGGTATTTATTTTTTACGAGCTAAGTTTAAAAGGGTTTCTTGTAATAGAAATACATGTTTATTATTTTCCAACACCTCAAATTAATTTTTTATTAAAAGAAAGGTGTATGCAGCATGTAGCTGCATTACTTGACAAGACTTTTAATACCTAGTAACTAACAGTCAAAAATTGTTTTTTGTTTTAACTATTTTTAGTTCTAGGTACTTTCCCAGTCTCTTTGTGATTATAATTTAGTATTAATAAAATTTTATTTTAAACATGTCTTGGTAAATTTTAATAATAAAAAAACGTAAAACCGCCCCTGATTTTAATTAACACATTTGTTTGGGGTGTCATCGGCAACGGTATGTTTAACATTGCCAGTCGCATTAAATGTATGTAATATTTTGCTACCGTCGATTTGCTTATTGGTCCTCGATCAGGATATTTCCGCCATACTTCTTCTACCATCACAGTAACATAAGAATATCAAAACTTCTATTCCCTGTTTTCTGACAGCACCATCGTAATTTCAAATTTCTGTTGAGGTAATATTTTTCAGAAGTATATTATTAAAGGCATATAAATCGATATGCTACCCAAATCAATTTAATAATAACATATGTAATGGTAACTAAGAACTTATTGGCTGGTTGCTAAGGGGTTATTAGATATTTTGATATCCTACTCGAACTAACTAGCTAAGTAATTCTCAAGTTTTCATTGCAAAATAGGTAAATAATGAAGAAAATGTTAAGAAATATGAATGACACTGATTCCCTTTATACTCAGTATACTGTAATTTAAAGTAAGTATTACATAATTGTACCTACATACGTATGACGTATGTGGTATGGTTGACCTTAATTTTTTAATATAAAAATAATAGTATCTACCTACCCTTTCAATTTAAAAAAATATCGATGACGTCATATTTTATAAGAGAGTGGGAGTAATTTTTTTTAAAGTAGATAACCAAAAATAAAAATAGACCTCTCTGAGATTTTCTTCCGAAACTAATCAATTTTTAAAATACCTAATGGAGTGTTTCCACAATTTATGAACGCACAGTACAAAAAACAGAAGGTAGATATCTAGACGCAGATATCTTTGTATAAATAAACAAACAATGTTGTAGGTACCTACTTATGATGTGATGAATTTAAAATGGCGGATTGTTTTTAACTGAATTTGAAACACCAAAGATTATTAGATTATTTATTACTTATCTGTCAATAAACTCAAACAAATAAACGCCCCAGCATTCGGATACGTCGAAATTCGTCAACGAATAGACATAGCTCCGGATCTGGCCCGCAGCTTTCCGTCAAAACCCAGAACCAATTTAAGAAAAACGAACGAAATACATCCAGCAGAATCGAAATAAAAAAACCCATCCCGAAGCCCGCACACTTCGTATTGATTGCGCAGACGACAAACCCGGTGACATTCTTTATCAATACGTCATAGCTCATATTTCAAGTTCTCTCCTGCATCCGCCCTTACAGCTACAAAGAAACTAAGTTCTTTCGGTAGCGCCGGCTCCGCCCTCCAAGACGGGACGAGGTGGGGCGCCAATCGACGCGGCGGACGGTGAACGCGAGACCAATCGGCACATTCGAGTGCGTGACGATTCAAACCACGCCTTCGAGCACTTGCAGCCGTTTTTCCGAATGTTTTTATTTATTACATTTGTAGTTGGCGAGTGTACTAGTTGTGTGTGCAGTTCCTCAGGTCGCGTAACAGAGTGTACTGCCCGTGCGCGATTCATAGCCACGCCTGCTACAGACTAACAGACAGACAAACAATAGGAAAACTTCACTATTACGATATCTTTCCGACTGTTTGGCCGATTTCGGGCTAACTACTTGATGGACTTGTAAGTGTTTTAAGTGCTTTTGGTATAAGTGCCGTTTGCGTCGCGCGATGATGGACAACTCGGGTATGGACTCAGCAAGTGATCATAGTAGTCACGCGTCTTCAGGTTCACCGGCAGTAGCGATCAAACAATCGCCGTCACCTCCTAATCATCTATCGCACCACAATCACCACAGCCAAGTTCACAGCCCAAGACAAGCCAGTCCTTTATGTCCTCCGATGTCGATGGCGCATCCGTTATCACCGCCACCGGTTTCCTCGGCAAGCCTGGCTCGCAGTATGGCTTTGGGGCATCTGCCGCCTCCCGGATTGGGCTTACTGAACTCCCTTGGTGTGCTACACAACCCTCTGGATCTGATGGCTCATCATGGCCCTCCGCGTTCCTACAACAGTCCTCCACCAATTTCCACGTCAGATCCTACGGCAAACGAGTGCAAACTAGTTGATTATCGCGGACAAAAAGTGGCAGCTTTCATCATAGCAGGCGATACTATGTTATGCCTGCCGCAGGCGTTCGAATTGTTCTTGAAGCATCTAGTGGGTGGTTTGCATACGGTTTATACCAAGCTGAAAAGGTTGGACATCGTACCGTTGGTTTGTAACGTTGAACAAGTTCGTATATTGAGAGGGTTGGGTGCTATCCAGCCAGGTGTCAACAGATGTAAGCTGCTGTCTTGCAAAGATTTCGATACTTTGTATAGAGATTGTACTACGGCCAGGTATGTATCTGATACTTTGTTTTCATGATTAGTTTTTAAAAGATTTATTACAATTATTATATATAACCAAATTACCTATAGCATATTGATAAATCGGAAAATTTCGCTACAATGTTATTGAAATACCTAAATAAATACAAAATTAAATAGGTATCACAAATAAACACAGAACCTACAGTATTTTTTAAATATAGGTAAAAATAATTCCAGCTTGGGACGGAATTGTAGACAGAGCTGTAGGTATTTGGTATTTAGATAAACTGTAAAGGGTGTATTTTTTGAAAATATAAGGCTACCACCTTTGAGACCTATCTAAGTACCTATTTATTTGTCAAAATTTTGATATAGTTAAATTCTTATTCATATATACATTAAGGTTATAATTGAACAATTTATTTAAATATTTGGCATCCCATTTCAACAATTTTTACCAGATTTTAAAAAATAAGGTATACAAATCGAACCATTTAAATTTTATTATTAAAAATGTAATTATAGACAACTAATTTCCCACTATCTTCTATTCGCAAATGGTGAATGCATCAAAAATATTAATGTAGGTACCTAATTGTAAAATTATTATTCATATAAGTATACCTACCTAATATTGTATGGGTGCTAATTCCAATTAATAATTTTTTTATTTTTCATTATTTTTTAAAGATTTATTATTTTCTGAATTTTATTAGTCTGATCTTTATTTTGGAAACATATTAAACACATATTTTGTAACGTAGCCTTGAAGCCTAACCAATAACAATAATTACCTATAGGTAGATAAAATAAAACAAGCAAAAAATACCTACCTATAGGTGATAATTACTTATTAGTGGAATATTTTATTATTTTGCCAAGAATACGTTTTTTTTTTTTAAATTTTGATTGGAGAAAAAAAACAAAGTGGAATATTTTATTATTTTGCAAAGAATACGTTTTTCTTTTAAATTTTGATTGGAATAAAAACCCAAAGAAAAAATCTAGAATTGGTCAAACATCTCACTAAAACCTACCTACTGTACCTACCTACATAAAAATCATTAAGTGTCATTTTATTAGGTATTGGGTACCATTATAGAATTGCGTGAGCTTTATTTAATTTTTTTTGTCATACATTTTTAATGATAAAATGTCATTTATAATAATAAATAGGTACCTATATCTATGTGTATATACCTACTTACTAACTAACTAACTAACTAACTTTGAATAGAATATTTAAATAAAATAAACTCATAATTCAACTTATACTCGTATTTAAGCAGCCTATATTAATATAATAAAAAAACTACATCATTTTTCAATAGGTATATACATAAGATCCAGTTCAATATAGGTATATTATATGAATTACATAAAAACCTTGATAGCCTAGAGCAAATTGGAACTAAATATCAGAACAACCTGTATAAAATCTTATTTATTACTGAGTCCAATAAAAATGAGAACAAGAAAATTTCTGTTCCTGAGTTTCAAAAGATGCCTAAAAAGGTTGTATAAAAAGTTAATTGACTCCATTTTGTTGAGTGACAAATAAATATATAAAAAATATAATAATCTAAACAAAGAAAGTCAAAACAAAAAAGTTTTACTTAAAAATACCTATAGGTACACTCTTTTAGTTTTATTAAAACATTTGCTAATTACCTACTTTTTCATACAAATTTTGTAATAAATAGGGTACCTAGGTAGGTACCTGCAAATAATTTTAATAATTAAATAGAAGTGAACTAAGGTTTGAACTTTGTGAAACTCCCGGTGTAGTAATATTTATGTTAATTATTCCTACTCATAATATTTAGGTAGGTATATAAAAAACATGGGTTCCTAGTGTTGTAAATTTATTCCAAATCATGTTAAACAAAAATATTTAGTGTCTATTACAGTAAATAACTGCCAGTCTAATTAAAAATTTAGGATTTTCGATTTCTTTTGATGTTTGGTCAAACAGCAGTTCTTTGACAATATTTTAATTTTACGCTATACCTACCTACTTATATTTTCCAATTGAGGTTTATCAAATAATATATACCTATCTAGAAATAATAATCACAGGTTTGTCAAAATCTTATTGATTTAAAAGTCCCTTCTGCTAGGTAGTTACAGTACCTACCTATTGTTTCTATAGATACTTACTAGATATAATCCTGGATATAGGTATGGATATCAGTGATAAGAATAAACTTAATTGTGTATTTATCCAACAGACCAACACCACACAAGATATTTCGTATTGAAACCATTTCAATTCAGTTCATAGGGTGGCATTCAAAGAACATTCTATAATAATGTGCACGCGAAAACATTCTAGAACAGAAACCCCTCTATGTATATTGTAAAATCAAATCGAATAATCGAAACAATCCACTTGAGTTCCCCTCTTTTCCATTGCCTTTCTAATTACACGAATATTGCGAGGGTTGATTGCCCTATATCTGTACTGAACTGCCTCTAGGATACACTACGAAAAATATTTCAACCCCGCCGACAAAAATTAGAGACTTTTTTACGAGGTGGCCATTGTTTTTATTTTAATTATGTTTTTAATACGATTTTTTGGAATTTTTGAAACTATATATGAAAATATATGTGATCAAATATGTTCAGTGTTTGAATTTTGAATGCCGAATCATTTTTTGGAAAAAGACTTGCATGTAATATTTTATTAAAATATCAGATGTACTTAAATTTGAATTTGAACAAGTATTTAATTCAAAATAACTTAGGTACGTACCTAAGTAAAATTATTAGAAATTATTTAATTTATTATATACCTTATAGGAATGTATTTTATTAAAAAGTGAATTATTTGGGTTTATAAAATGAAAAATAAAATAAAAAAATATAAAGATATTCATTATTTTTAGGACAATGAAAATATTAAAAGGTAATACAAATAAAAATGTTAATTAATTTAAATGAACAAATATATATTCACATATACCTCTATTCAGGTACTTGTTCGCCCTTAGGTACAACTGTAACTACAAAATAAAAGTCTCTATCGATAAATGTACTATATATAAAAAAATCAAAATATCGAGAGTACCTACCTACAAAAATATAGAAAATATTATAATGAAAGTACTAATTATATCGTATAAACACAAAAAAAAACTACCATCAGATTAGAGATTGTTGAAAAATTGCTATAATATACAGTAGGTACAGGTATCTACATAAAATATGTCTCAAATAGTTGTTTATAAATGAGTTCTTATTATTATTAATTTTGCTAAAAAATATTATTGATAAAAAATCCTGCATCACTCTAGAACAGTGTTAATATTATTAAATAATATGATTTAAAAAGAAAAATACTTTTAACAGGAATAGATATTTAAATCCATAAAAATGTTTTATATTATTTCATTATTTGTTTTACAACGCGTTCTTTCTTAGTGCTGGATTATAATGAAGCGGCGAGCATAGCGTTTTATTCAAACCAATAGGAATAAATGGATACGTTTTACATAGCGGTGAAGATGACTTTACTGCAGCGGTATAGCCCGAATTAAACATGTTTGTTTCGGAAGCGGTGACCAGCGCGGTTTAATACAGCTTTACTCACCGCTCTGCTCGCCGCATCACTATAATCCTGGCCTTAGAACTGAGAAACTGATTTTTATGCCTCAAGTTGGCTCACTCTTGTCACTAGTACGTACAAAAACAGTAGTATTAATGACAGTGGGGATTCCCAATGCATTGCATAGTAGTTACTGTACATTTTCTTTCGTTAAAATTGGCAAATGTATGTGGATTCAGTTTAATATTAATTTATTTGTCGTGTCAAATTATATAAACATAATATATATACCAGGGAAATCAAAAGAAAAGAGATAGATATTAAAAGAAAAAAGTGGATAACCCAGGCATTAATCAAATCATTTAATAAGACAAAATTATCTCTATTAACAATATAAAAAGAATCCAGACAATTTAGAATACAAAAATGCTTTTTTAACTTACCGAAATAGACTTAATACTCTAATTTATGATTAAAAAAAAAAGATTCTATTAAGAATTAATTGAAAAAAATAAAAATACCTCCTTATGGAAGTCAATCAAAGAAATAGATAGAAAGGAACAGAACCCAGAAATTGAAAAAACATATGAAGAAAACCAAAAAATTATTACAGATAATAAGAATATTGCTGATATATTTAATAGTTTTTTTACAAATATAGGTAAACAGTATGCCAATAAAATTATTAAACCAAATTCCCCTCCTCCATCTAGAATTCGTGTAACTAAATCATTTTACTTGGAACCTGTAACAGAAAATGAAATAAAATTAATAATAAAATCATTGAAATCAAATAAGATTTGATAATATAAAGGCTGAAATATTAAAACTTGCTATTGAAGCGGTTGCTCCTCCTATTACTTACCTGATAAATAAAATGTTTGGGAGAAGGTATTTGTCCAGAAGATTTTAAACTGTCTGTTGTAATACCGCTATATAAAAAAGGGGATAAACTTATGGCAACTAATTATAGACCAATTTCCTTGATTACCAGCCTGACAAAAATATTTGAGAAATCCTTGCACACCCGACTAATTTCATTTCTAGATAAATATCAGCAAATATCTCCTAAACAATTTGGATTTAACAAGAAGTTTCTATAACAGATGCCATATGTAGCTTGACTACTAATATTTATAGACTTCTAAGGGACTTGCTGTATTCCTAGATCTGGCCAAGGCATTCGATACGGTAAACCATACACAGTGACCCGATGCCTTAGAGGATATGGGAGTGCCCTATGAGTTAATCCAAAGTTATCTTCTTGGAAGAAAACAAATGGTAAGGATTAAAAATGTATTAAATACTAAAATGGAAATAAATACTGAGGTTTTTCAAGGTTCTATTTTAGGACCTTTATTTTTTTCGAAATATATATAAATAATTTATTTGACCTTAAGACAACAGGAGAAACCATTTGTTTTGCCGATGATACGGTCATCTTATATAATGATAAATCGTGGGAAGACCTAAAATT